AAATACACTCACTGATGCCTACACTATGCCGTGACCTGTGCCCGGTGCTGGAAATGCAGAAAGAAGAGTCATTAATGTGGAACATGAGGAAACCAGAACAAAGACAGGCAAGGGGGTGTGCTGGAAGGAACCTGGGTTTTGGAGTCAGGCCGACCTGAGTCTGCCTGCTGGCTCTACTATCTACCAGGAAGTCACCAGCAATCTCAGCCGTTATCCCCTATCTGCAGAATGGATAGGAAGGGGCAGTCATGGGGAATTACTGAGATCATGGATGCAAAGCACTCCGAGATGAACAGAGTTTCAACCCTGTGGGAGGCTGCTGAGCTGGTAGGAGACTTGGCTGTAGTGGGACACCCTTGGCATCCCACTTTCTGACCCTCAGGAGACCCTTTTGAAATAATTCACCTGGCCCCAAAGAGAGACACCACCAGTGAGCCAAGACAGGCCCTCCTACCCTGGGACAGGCACATAGCAGAGGGCATGGATGGAGAGGAGCAGCCCAGCTCCGGCACACTGCTGGGCCTCAGCAAGAAGGCTGCCTTCTTTTTCCCTCCCGGCACGGGAAAGAGGACCAAGCTTGAGACTCCCCAGCCAGCTGATTTTCCAGTACGAAAGAAAAAACAAAGGACCACGGAACTAATCTCAAGTAAGCTCTGGGCTGTGGAGGAGGAGTTGCCCATCTCCGCCTCTCAGGCCGGGGCTTGCCCCTCCCCACAGAGCCAGGCGGGGCATCGAGGGGCTCAGTAGGAGCTGTCCCCCAAGCTGCTCCCGGAGCAGAGTAGAAAGGAGCTCTATCAAGCCTGTCATGTTTCATGTTTTAAAAAACCAAAACTCTGTGACTTGGCAGTAACCTGAGTCCTATGACTGCACCCGCTGGCCCTGGGTGGGAAGCCAGCACACCACAGCAGTGTGGTGCACACTGTGGGCATGCCACTAAGCAGCGTCACACTGGCGTGCCCTCTGCACGCATGCACACTCCTCCCGGCCCTTTACCCTGCAGGTTCTCTTCGCCCTCAGCCGCGGGCTGTTCTCCACACTGCCGGCTGCTGCTCGGGCCCTGCCCTGTAATCTGCCTCAGAGGCTCTCCCCTCCAGGCTACCACCTGTTTCTGGCCACGGGCTTTCTCCTTCGCCTTGCGAATCAAAGGCCTTACATGTACTCGGATCCTCTGACCCAGTCAATCCACGTCAGGGATTCTGCCTAAGGAAATAATTCAGACCATGTACGAAGATTTATATAAAAATGTTCACCATAGTGTAGTTTAAGATGGTGAAACATTACCAACAATCAAAAGGCCCAGTGTTAGGACAACGTGGTGGCCCTCGGCACTGATTTCAGATGGCGGGAACTTGATAAAAATCTCTGTAAGTGGGGCCCAGACATTTGCCATTTTAAAAGCCCCACAGGTGATTCTGATCCACAGCCAAGGCTGAGAACCACCGGGGTCACCCGATGGGATACGTGCAGCCATTATAAATGATGTTTAAGAAGAGTTTTTATATGATGTGAAAAATGCTTACAACATATTAAAAGGCAAAACAACTGGGAACTGGATTGCTTTGCTAGGAATATCTCAACTGTCTAAAAGTAAAAAACCAAAAAACCTAAACAAAATGAAACAAAAACAATCCCCAAGCCCTAGAACCTAGATGGAAACATGCTAACACATTACCCTAACTCCAGATGATAGGATTATGGGTGCTTTCTCATTTTTAGACCTCTGTTACTTTAAACATTTTTACCACGAGCAGCTGCTATTTTTATAACCAGAGAAACAACCAGAAGACAAGCGGCCCAGGGGGAGGCTGCCCTATCCCCTCAGCACTGTGCTGCCCGCCACCCGGCAGAGTCACCCAGGTACCACTCCCCCCAGCCATGAGGCTGCCGCCCCACACCACTCACCCCTTCTCAGGCTCACATGTACTTTGCAGTCCTTACTTTAATTAATTCCCCACAATCTTGTATGGGAAGTGTTGTTATCCCATTTCTTGGATGAGGAGAATTGGCTAGAATTAAATCTATGGTTTAAAGACCATCTAGGTAGCATGGTGATGATGCTTGGCCAGAAAATTTCAGGCCCTCTAGCTTCCCTCCTGGCCTGACAGAAGACAGTTACCTGGTACAGAGGAATAGGACTGAAAGCACAGCAGATCTGCCATATTTTGTTGATTCTAAGATACAAATTTCTTCACGTTGTAACACCTCTGAAAGCTGGATGCGTCTTACCACTGATGGCATCCTTCAGTTATAACTGGCAGCAGTATTTCTTAATGGTACATCTTAAGATTGAATGGCAGCTTGGATTCAATGAAGTATACCATGTTAGAACCAAACTCACCATCCTATCCTCAAAACAATAATTTTAATGGCTACATAATATTCTATCATATGGATGTACTTTAATTTACTTAACCAGTTGCCTATTACGAACACTTAGTCTGTTGCAACTTTTTACCATTATAGGTACTGCTACTGGGAACACCTTAGCATTGCACTTTCCCTTTTTCTACTATGTGTGTCATTATCATCCCCTCCCAGGCTCCAAATCTTGGGAAACATTTTGACATTTCTCACCCCTTGTCTCCCATATTTTATCCATCACTGAGTCTAGGATTTCTTTTTCATGGAACTTTTTCCTGGCATAACCACTGGAGGGCTCTCTTCTGAGTTCCCCTAACAGGTCTCTCTGCTACCAGCGTCCCTTTCAGTCCATTGCTGTATTTGTGTTCAGACATGACTTCAGTCACATGCATCTCTGCTCAAAAACTGATACTCCCTACAGGAAGAAGTTCACACTCCTAGCCTGGCATCCAAGGATCTCTCAAATCTGGCTCCAACTTCTCCTGCAGCCCCATCTCCCCACCCAAACCCATGACTCCAGACAAAGTGGCCATGAGGGGTCCTATTTCCAAGCCTTTGCTCACTCAATTAACCCCACACCCACTACAGGAAGGGATACTTCTGTCTTTCTTTTTCCAAACCTTACCCATCAGACCCAGGTCAAGTTTCACCTCTTCTATGAAATGTTTTATGGCTCATTTGATCCTTATAACCATGTGGAGATATAGAACGGTAGGTATTCTTAGCCTCATCTCACAGGTGAAGGAACTGAAGTTTAAAGAGATTAAGTGGTTTGCTCAAGGTCATATGGCTTAGAAGCAGGGCCCGACTTTAAACTCCAGGGCTTCTGGCCTTAAATCCAGGGCGTTTCAGCGCAAGTACAACCATAAACATCTCTGGAGGTGCAACTCGTGCCCAGATCACATACTCAGCAACACGTGCCAAGATTCATAGCCTCTGGGATCTGGACATATACACGACAACAATGAGATCATTGTTAAGAGCAGAAATCCCTCATGTCTGTCGGTTCTTGGCAAGCCAAGGAAAGGTCTAGGCCAGTTGTCCTATTCCCATTTTAGAGGTGGGAAGACACCAGTATTTTCCTTGAATTATGCCAGCTCTTAAAACAGCACTGAACCTGACTGGTTTGGCTGGGCCCAACGTCATGACAAAGAATCAGAGCTGCCTCACTTGGAGACAAGCAGGACATGGGGGTGTTTTGTCCGCCCAAACAAAACATTCGTGTTCTAAGCTGAAGGGCTTCAGAGGACCTGAAGGAAGTATTTCTTAGGAAGTAAAAAGAGAGTACGTCCCTTCTGTTATGTGACCATGACATCGCCCGAAGCTGAGGCAGCCTAGAAAGCCAGGCCTAAGTGCCGGATGGAAGACAAGGAATAAGGAGGATGGTGGCACCGGGTTGCTGCTCCCCGAGCACCCACTGCCCCGGCACTTCACGGAGAATATGCCCTGGGTGGAAGGAAAACAAGGTGTTTGCTGTTACCCTGTGTTTCCCTTAGATACATGATGGAGTCATAGCGGTAAGAAAATACTTAACAATACACAAGGGTGGCTTATGAGGAAGTGTGACTAAGATTCACTGTCAGAGTCTGCACATGAAATGCATTGCCTGACATCCACTCATCTTTTGTCATTTAATCTAATAAAATGCTGTGGGCTAAAACAAAAACAGAAACAAACACTCCTGGCCCATAGGCAGTGTGACCTTTGCTGGTCCCTGGCTCTCTACTCTGACTAGGCTGGGTGTGGCTGCCATCGCCAGCCTGCTCAGGATCCAGAGAGTTCTGTGCTCCTGAGAGAAAAGGGCTGTCAGCAAGGTTCCCCTCCAACGTTCTCTCCTGTACAGAGAGGCCCAGGTCCCCAGGCCAGTTTCTCCACTCTTCTAGCTGAGAGGCGAAGAGTAGGCTGAGTAGAAAGGCATCAGATGAAAGCATCGCATTGAAAACCTTCTTGGTTTTAGGACAGACCTGATGTCTTCATATCCTCACAACAACTAATCACCTCAACGGGCAAGCAGGGGACACACATGGGGCAACTGAGGCTCAGAAAGGCTGAAGGGCCATGGAGGCGGACAACGTTATTTCCCCGTTCTCAGTGTACTCTGTAGTCATTTACACCAAGACCACTCTGGGAGCCTCTAAGAAGCGAATCCCCAGGGTGCTTTGCTTTCTCAAGTGTGGGGAAGAGGTCTCTTTATGGGATAAGGGCAGTGAGGCATGGTGGGAAATCCTAGGCTTTGGGACCATCTAGCTCCTCCACTGCTTAGCAAGTCATGTCTCCTCTCTGAGCCTCAGTTTCCCCATTTGTAAAGTGGAGATGATCATCACTACCTCACAGGCTTACCGCGACTCCTCAGAGAGAGCAGGTGTGTGTGAAGGGCCAGGCACTGTATTAGCACACAGTCAGTGTTACTGTCCAGGGAGGGGCTGGGTCTTAACATTCACAGGAGCAGTGAGTGCTTCACGCATGGCAGCACAGCTTCCTTGTGCTGAGAGGTAAGGCAAGGGCCCCCCCCCCGCCCCCCACAACCTCCTCTAGGTGAATCCAACAACCAGATGAATCGTGGGTTTGTTGTGGCTCCTGAGGTACATTTCTTAGCCTTGACCAAACACGGATTCGTAACATGCCAAGAAGCTACTCACCGGCTCAATTTTCAGAGCATTTCGGTAGCTGCCAAAGAAAGCGGCCTGGGCCTTGAGGAAGGCTCTGGCCACACCATCACCGGTAGTCGTGGACACCTTCTTCAGTCTGTTCTTCAGTGAAGAGATCTGGTGACGGAGAGAAAGGAGACATAGGCTGAGGGCAGGGTCGGAGGAGGACGGCTGGCAAGCTCGATACATACAGAGCTCTAGAAACCCCTGGGAGGCGGAATGATTTGATACCTTAGCTGCTGGGAGAACAAACATGCAGCCAGTATTAGGGCAGGTTTTTGAAATTTAAATAAATGTTGTCCCTATTAGAGCATATCTAATAAAAACAACACCAAAACCACTTTCTAGGCAGTTACAATGTGCCAGGTGAGTGCTTTCACATAAATTTTCTAATTTAATTCTTTCGATAATCCCGTGAGGAAGGGATTACAAGGGTGAAACAGTCTCTGAGAGGTTAGATTACACGCCTGGGAACAAACCTAAGAAGTGGCCAAGTTGGAATATGAATCGAAGTCTTGTAATCTGAGCTGAGACTACACAAAGATTTTCAGTTCCTATTCCATTCCCTCTTCAAATTACTTACAAATGTTAAAAATGGCTTATTTATAACATATAATATATATTGTTATATACTTCACATCTCATACTCTAGAATAGTGGCAGCTCATAGATACACACTCAACAGGTTAAGACAAAATAGACAAGAAAGCCATGGCAATGGACAAAGAAGCAGTCAGGAATAGATTTAGCATATAAAGGTAAGCCAGGGGCCGGCCCCGTGGCTTAGCAGTTAAGTGCACGCGCTCTGCTACTGGCGGCCCAGGTTTGGATCCCGGGTGCACACTGACGCACCGCTTCTCCCGCCATGCTGAGGCCACGTCCCACATACAGCAACTAGCAGGATGTGCAACTATGACATACAACTATCTACTGGGGCTTTGGGGGGGAAAAAAAAGGAGAAGGATTGGCAATAGATGTTAGCTCAGAGCCAGTCTTCCTCAGCAAAAAGAGGAGGATTAGCATGGATGTTAGCTCAGGGCTGATCTTCCTCACAAAAAAAATAAATAAATAAAGGTAAGCCATAAGGTCTTACACAGTGGCAAGAAATGGACTGTAAATTTGACTTATGAGCCTCCTAGTGGTCAAAGCAAAAAGGGAAATGAGAAATTATGAGATTCCTTGAGTCTGTGCATTACAAACAAACCAGCTGCACAAATGAAAACAGATTTTCCTTAAAGTGAGAACTAAATGAGATTTTTCCTATGAGTCCTCAATGTAGGAATGACTATGATACGATGGCTGCTGCCTTCAACATCAGAGGCAATATCAAGCTTCCTAGTCTGTTTCTAATATGCCCTTCATTCATCTCAGGATGCCATACTGCACAACTTCTGGGCATTTCCTTCATGCTGTGTTCCATGTGAAAGGTGCCCCTGAAATTGTGCAGTGTGCTGGTCTCAAATCATTCATTTATTCAACAAATATTATTTCCTGAGTGCCAGGGAATATGTTAGGTGTTGAGGATACAGTGTGAGCAAAACCAGACATGAGCCCTGCTCTCATTAGGCTTACATTCTAGTGAGGAAAATACCCATACTGTGACGCTGCTACCGTGAGGAGCCTGTAATCAAGCTCTCCAAGGAGGTCAAGGAAGCCTTCCTGGAGGGAAACGGGCTTGGACTGAGACCTGAAGGATGAGTTGTAGTAGTCAACTCGGCAAGGAGGGGAGGGAACAGTGTACCAAGCACAGGGAACAGCATTTGCAAAGACCCTGTGGTGAGAAGGAGTTCAGAGAACAGAAATAACTGTGGCTTCAAGTGGAGAGAATGAGGGCAATATGGCTTAAAATGAAGCTAGAGAGAAAGGCAGGGATCAGAAGAGATGTGAGTACACTAAGGAATTTTTTCCTTCATCTTGAGAGAAATGTAAAGCTAATGACTGTTTTCAAGCATGCAGGTGACACATCAAGGGCACTTTTCTGGAATCTGTAAGGGGCTTACATACAGGACTATCTAATGGCCTGACATTATTTAAGGATAAAATTTAAGGATAAAATAGAAAATTAGATTCAAGTGGCCCACAAATCACCTACAAATTTTTAATATGAATGAGTGATGACTGCTTTTCTGGGCGCAGGCTCCACAGCTTTCCCCAGATTCTTAACGGTGCCTGTGCACCTAAAATAGATCAAGATTCACTGATCTGGGATGGACTACATACACTTCAGAAATGCGCCATGGCATTATTTTTTATTACTAAGCTTCTGATATGGGACTTTTTTATAGCTTACTAAAATACATTTTACATAATTACAAAACTCAATCAATTAAAGGGTATAGTTCAGTGGTTTTTAGTATGTGACAGGGTTGTACAACTGTCTAATTCCAGAACATTTTCATCACCCTAAAAAGAAACCTCATCTTACTGGCAGTCAGTTCTTATTCCCCACCAATTCTCCTCCCCTCCTCCCTCACCCCAGTCCAAGTAACCATTAATCCAGTTTCTGTCTCTATGGATTTGTCTGATCCGGACATTTCATATAAATGGAATCATACAATATGTGGTCTTTTGTCACTGGCTTCTTTCACTTAGCATAATGTTCGTTATGAACAAGATTCATCCACGTTGAAGCACTTATCAGAACACTCTTTTCTTTTTCATGACTGAATAATATTCCATTGTATGGATATATCCTATTTTATCTACTCATCAGTTGATGGGCATCTGAGTGTTTCCACTTTATGGCTATTATGAATAAAGCTTCTATGAACATTCATGTACAAACTTTTGTGTGGAGACCGCAGAGATTTTGAGGCAAGAAACTGAATGGCAAAAATCCTCTGTTGCAAGATCTTATAGGACAAAGATAAGCTGAAGGGACACGTGAACTCACGGAGCAAACAGTAAGCCGTAAATAAGTGTTTACTGAGCAGACGGGAAAAATCCTGTGCTGTTGCTGAAGGGGCGTGAACTGAGTGAAGGTGGGGCTGACGTCCTCTCTGAAGAGTCAGAAGTGATGAGAACAGGCCTTGAGGGGGTGGCCACCCTATCTCTGCTCAGAGGTGGGAAAAAGAAAACAATTTTCCTCCAGAAGCAGTTTGGAGTCTGTCAACACCTGGGTGTCAATATCTGGTTATTGTGACCTCTCTCTTCTGGGATGCATGAGCCACAGCACCACAATGGCGGGAGCTCACAAGGAGCAGTGCCCACTTGGCACCGGGACAGACTCTGCCATGGACTTTCAGCTTGAAACAGCAATATGAAAAAGAAACATACTTTATTAAAATGTTAAAAATATTGCCCACTCCCCACCACCCAAATAATAAAAATCCTGCCCCTCCCAGGGACTAGGATGACACCTCTATCATTTGAAATGGTGCCAGCCACTGTCGTTCTTCTGGCTCCTCAAACGCCTTGGGCCACCTGTGCGGCAGATTATTCCTCACTTAACCTGCCCTGGCCTTTCCCTTTCATTCGGGAGGTGTTTAATTACCTTGGATTCACCACGCTGCACTTCAGGTGAGCCTTTGCTAATGGCCTCATTACCATTTTACACAAAGAGGTAGTTGCTGATTGTAACTGAGCAAATACGAGTGTGTGCCTTCCTGCCCACCCCAGCTGGTCTGAAACCAGCCAAGTGGTCCTGGGCTCTTGGTGCCCCTGTGATCACTTAGGCCAAGACTTCTGAAGACCTCTCCTCACCCTGCAACACGGAGAAGCTTTTGTCAGCACTTCAAACTTTGAAACTTCAAGTATGTGCACATCTGGTAGCTGGTGATAGCATTTGTCCTTTAAATAAAAGTGAGAGAAGAAAATCTAAGGCTGAATAACCCACAGTCATACATCTAAAACTGAACTTGCCCTTATTACTCCTGGGGGTGCTGGTCAGATCATTAACATCGGGGTTCATCAGGCATAATTTGGGAGTGACGGAAATGTCGATGAGGAGAGCTTCCTTTTTTAAACAGCTATCACAGGAGGCAGACAGAAAACAAAGGGAAGAGAGTCTAAAACTGAATTCATCAGCTTCTCTCTAGAGCTCCCCTCCTTCTGCTCTGCCCCATCTTGGTTACTGCAGCATCAGCCAACCAGCCTGCTGGGCCAGATTCGGATGTCAGATCCCATACGTCTTCCTCCCTTCCCACAGCCATTCTCCACGTCTTGTCAACACCACCCCAATATGTTCTGGATCTGCCCTCTCCTCTCAGTGTCCATGACCTTGGCCCTGCACTCTTCAGCTCCATCCAGCCTCTCTGGCCCAGCTTGATGGCATCGATTCCTAGATGCGCCTCTCTCCATCAAAATCCTTTAATGCCCCACCCTTGGCCATCACCACCTGCAGAAAAAAAAAATCCCAACTCCTCAGAGCAATCTATGAGGCTTTCCTCAATTGGTCTCGCTTTCCTTGGCCCCACTTAATGTGTCATACCCGACTGATACTGAATTGCTATCTAGAAGCATATACTACTGCCCAGCCCATACACATGCTGACAACTCAGACAGAGCTGTCCCTTCCTCTCCTGCTTGTGAACATCTACTCACCCTTTGAAAGACCATCCAAGTGCCCATAAATGGAGGCCTATTAAGTAAATTATACTACAGTACATCCTTATAATGAATTATTGCATAGCTGCTAAAAAGAATATGGCAGTACTCTATGAACTGACATTAAAAGATGTCCACAAAATATTGCCCAACGGGGGCAAAACACTCAAGTTGTAGAGCAACATGTACAGCATGAATCATTTTAAAAATTATATACATACAAAGACATACAAAAACATCTAAAATGCCACGTATCAAGCTTTAACCACGCAGGGATGCTTTCACTTTTTATTTTATGTACTTTGATTGTTTTGATTATCTTTTATAAAAAAGCATGTTACTTTCATAGTAAAGAATTTAAATGAGGTATTTTTTTTAATAGTCAAATTAAACATTGCCTTGGGTTAAGGGAAAGAGGGAATCCGGATGTCCCCTCACGTGTGAAGCCTTCCCTGACCCCTAAGATAGGGTTAATGATGCCCTGTCTGGGCCCCCTTGGACTGCACAGGTGATTCTTCAGCAAGTTGCAGTGTCTACCATCTTTCCTGCTGGACTGTGACTTCCCAGAAGGT